GCTTCAGCGCATTGCACAGCCATGTATATCTTGTGAACTGCATATGGATTAGGAGTATATGCTGCTTTTACTTTTATTAATGAAATGACCAGGTACACATCAGCTTCTTGCATCTCTTACTGTCCTTCAGATTTTGGATACTTGAGGCAGGCAGGGGTGGAGTAGAAGTGGTGTATGAACCATAGGCACCAGAGGCCAGGGTAACGCAGGTAATTGGAATGACTACAGGGCAGCTAGAAGAGGAAATGGTTTGCTGTTCTTTCCAGAGCCTTAGGTGAGGGGCAACTTGCTCTAAGTCCTCTTGCAGACTGATTCCAGAGACATCTGGTGTTAGCCAGCTCTCTTCTTTCCCACTGTCTCTGTTGCATAATGGTAGGCCTCATCCTAAACTAGAACTGTTTGGTAATAGATTCTATTTTATGGCATGGCTTGACTAGGCTAAATATGGAAAAATGTATGTTAGGAAGAGTGAAAATTGTATCCTAGTCTACGGTGTAAAACGTGTGCTTTTTGTGTATCACATGCTTGGATATCCACATATTTCATTGTAAAAATGTCTAAACATGAGAGTTTTATAGGAGTAGTGTTTACTGTAGGCAAACTTTGAGAGTGACAGACCAGTGCTCTGTGAATGGGAGAGAAATTGTACAGACCATTTGACAATTTGTCTTGTATGAACCTTGTAGTAAATGAAAAATGTGTAACTTTGGTCAGCTATGTGTTAGGCTTTTATTCAGGTAGAAAAATGGGTTAATGTGCTGGGAGTACTTTTTTCTTTACTGCATATTGCAAGATGTTAAACTTCAGTTAAATTTTTAAATCCTGTTTCTCCTTTCCATTTACAGAGTGGTTGAACAAGAAGCTCAGAGGTCACAGCAAGTTTCTCAGGACAGAAAAAGTCCCAGCAGGACCAATGGCTGCAATGAAAACAGGCCCATTGACATCTTAGAGATGCTTAGTAAAGCCAAGGATGAATATGAACGAGTAAGCAAATGTCTCTTCTCTGGAAACAAGTTTTTAGACATCACCTGTACTTTGTTTAAAGGGTGGCCAGTGTCTGCAATAGTTCCAGCAGCCTTGTTTTCCGAGTGACGTGTTGTTCCCTCCCTCAGGAACACTGTACTAGGAAACATTCTGTGATTTCAGGCAGGATCCTGATCATGGGGTCCAACTTGAAATGTAGCAGGATGGACCAATTTTATAATGATTTCTCCTGCTGTGAGAAAATCTTGTCTCTGGGAATAGCAAATAAAAATTGTGCCCAACAGCATCTGTCTCTTCTTAGTCTGATGAACTGAGGTATTGGAGACTGAGGCATTCAGTTCATTTGTAGACTCCAAGAAGCATATTTCTTATTAGCTGTAGACTAATGTAATAATACCTTTGTCTTTCTGTTGTCCAGTTTATTACTTGTGTCCTGTCTAGTGTTTCTCCCTTTAATAAAATAATTCATCTCAGAAGGAAAAGCCTGTTACCCTTTGCCAGTGCTAAATTCACAAGATTACATAATGAGGAATGTTAGTGCTCTTAGGAAAGAATTACTTTATATAATCATGAGAACCAAATTCATACATGCAGGGTGAATATAAAGGTAATGTGTAGGAGATCCAAAAATGGAAACAGAGATTCTGAACACGCCTCTTCCCCAGAGTAATAATACAGGAATGTGCCATAGTAAAGCAATGTGTGAGTATTGCATTGTAGAACCATAATGTGGCTTCTGTGCCTGTGCTGCTGAGAGAAAAGGGAGCACATTTGTACAGTGCTTGATTGCTTCCAGGAGTTGCTATTCTGCAGAGTTCCTTGGAGTACTTGGAATTGATGGATCTAGATGGTTACAGTACAGTGTGGGATGAGGAGAAAGGAGTAAGCATGTGGTTTAAACCTTGTATGAGCCAACTTAACCTGTCACTGTCTGATGTACATTGAGGTCAGGGCAATGTGATAAACAATGCAGTATCATTGACCCATGCTAGATACTAATTTCTGGAAATCACTTATACGTTATTTTAATGCTTTAAAACACAGATGAAAAAAACTAATTTGCAATATGTGTCAGTGCTGTGTGGGGAGAAGGTGTCTCTGTGTGAAGGCCAGCATTGTGCAGGTAGCAGCTTATGTGAGATCACAGAAGGAAACATCACAGCCTGAACAGACAGAGTTGAAGAAATTGAAGTCTTTTTGCAAAGAAGGGAAAAAACCCATACTACAGGAATGCACTGCTTTGGTAGTGCCCTCCTGGGTGTGATGAAGCCTTTCTCCCTCTTTGTCCTTGTAGTATTGTATAATGCACATTTCCAACACGTGGCTGTTGGATGACTTGGGATATTGCAGCTTCTCTTCCAATTTTTGGATCTTTATAAAAGTACTGAAAAGCTTTTGCTAGAAACAAAGTTCCTAAACGTCATAGATGAAGCTCTGTAGACAAGTAAAATTCTGATGAACAGGAACAGATGCAGATATTTTAATGGACAGACATCATCTGTGGTGCCAATAATACAACAGGGAAATAGGCAGCGCATGGGCTACAGCAGAGCTACTTTAAGATTGGGGAGTTTGTATCTTTATTTCTTCTTATTGTTGTATATGTGTGTGTTTGTTTCTTGATATTTGTAGAACACCAGGGAAGCTGGGATAATTACTTCATTTCCTTTTTGTGTGTAAGTGAACCTGTTCATGGTGATCCCTTCAGAGCCTGCTGTGGTTGTCAGAAAAGCAGAGCTGTTGGTCACATTTCAAGCAAACTTCTTTGGAGAATCTTCTGTTGACCACCTCAACTATAGCAACAAACCCCTGGCACATAAATTTTGGTGCTCTTGTAGCCAATGTGTGCCAATGTGAATGTGGTGAAGGAACCAACTTGTTTGGAAGATAGCTTCTTGAGAGACCTTTCCTGTCTTAATTTTTTTTTTAATAATTCTGTGGCACTTGGTAATTATGCATGAATTTGTATTTAGGAGCAGAAAGTACTTATCTGCTGGTACATTCCAGATGGATCATACAGTAATCCTTGTGTGCAGCCCACATGAGATTGGCAGAGTGTCAGCATGAGAAGGGGGCAGAGGGAGTGAAAAAGAGATTTATGAAGGTCTGAGTGCTTTAATCTAGGATTCCAAATCAGCTTAATCCTTCAAGTACACACTACATCAAGCCCATATGCGAAAATGAATGAACTCTGAGAGGTTTGTTTTTTTTTTTTTTTAATGAAGTGAATGGATGCTTTTTATAGTGTGGTTTTCTGTTTGTATTTCAGCTTGAGCAGGGAAACACACTGCAGCTTATCCTCTTGTAAAAAGAAAACTCTGCCTTTCCTGATTTTATAACTAAAAGGCCTCCAACCTTTCAGGCAGAAGGAGTTTTGACCTTCAAGTTAGTGTCTAAAAGTCAGAAATGCGAGGGTCTGCTTCTCTCCTCTCTCCTTGAATCACAATGTATAGGTTTGATTTTGTATTTATTGCTTTCAATTAGAATTTGAAAACAAAAGAATAGAGCTTAGATTGCTTTTTAATCCATTGCTGAAAAGTTTAACCCATATTTTACTGCTTTGGGTAAGACACCAGCACAATCACCATGTGTCATACCAGTGGTTGAGCTCTATCATATGCATCAGGTGTCGTTTACCCATTGAAAGCTGGATTATTCTACAGTCTGGGTTTTTCCACTGGTGATTTTAATGGTAATAGAAGATCTATATTTGTTTATTTTTATATTTGTTTAGGATTAAAGTCAGATCTATCTGAAACATACTGTGTTATAATGCAGCTCTCTTGCCTGGTTTTGTCTTGTTCACAGAAAGCCAAATTAACCTGAAATATATACCTGAAAATAAATGTACATGGTTGGTTAAACCTGGTGGAAGTAAATCAGTGACAAGCTGTCTTTCCATCCGCTTAGAGTACTTTCTGACAGGAATTTTTTTATTTTTTTCTAAGCAGTTCTAGTTTGGGTTCCTGATTAAATGAAGTGTAGCAAACTTCTCTGTTAGCAGCCAAAGCAGATACAGGATGTGAAAAGCCCACCTTTTCTTTAATGCATCATTTTTGTTTGTAGTGAAACAGTATAAAATCAGTTGTATTTTCTTGTTGCTTTTCTTATAATAATAAAGAGTAAAAGTTTTATGACTGCAAACCAGATTCTGAATTTCTTGGTATGATTTTTATTTCCTAAGATTTATGAATACCACAGTGTCTTAGAAAAATCAGTGCTTTGTACATCATCTATATTTGAGTCCCAAGGGTCATGTAAACAGGACTATGTAGTGGGTAAATGCAGACTGAAACTCATGTATTTATATTCTTTTTTTTTTCCTTTTTTTTTCCTCCTCAGAATCAGATTAGTGACCTAAGTATTATATCAAGTTCTGGAATGCAACAGAATTCAAATCCTCCAAAGCCAGAAAGCACAGAGCCTTCAGAACAGAAGCCTTCATTACAAGTGCAAGAGCAGGTATATTTAATCTAACCCTAAATAAGGGAGTTTTTTCATTTAGTACTTTGTTTTGGTACCAAAATTGATGTTTTTTCTTAAGATGCCTTCAGTGTTTATCGCTCCAGTGTATTATGACTAAATAAATAAGTTTGAAGACTTTTAGGATCCTAAAATCTGTCTTTTGATTTAGTATTTTATAAATAAGAGGCTGTGTCCACACTACTGTGAATATCCACATTTAAATGGGCCCACCTGGCTTCTGGAAGAAGTCAGTCTGTGGTAATGTGTAGGATGACTTGGAGAGACAGGAAGCAAGAGAAGATGACCATGCCTGGTGGTCAGGTCTTTCACTCAGGAACTCAAGCCCTGGTTTTCTGTCTCAGACATGCACTGAAGGTCTGTCTGTGCTTCAGAGCCACGGCTGTGGTCCTGCACAAGGAAGTTGGGGCTTGATACAAGACTTTGTAGAGGTAAATAGAGAAAAAAGTAAGTAAACTGTTCAGTACCTGAATTGCCTGTAACAGGGAAGTGCCGTGGGCCTGCTTGCAGTGCCACCCAGTGGGCACCGGACAGGCACTGCTGGAACTCCTCTCCCTGCCATGGTTCACTGGGGTGCTTCTGATTCAATAAATCACCGTGCCTGAGAAGTGAAATCCCCTAGGAAACATGGGCAAATTTGCACTTAGTACTTGCACACAGCTTGGAGGAGTAATCATAGTTCCTAGTTCAGGTAGAGCTGGGGCTGGGCAGCAGGAATCTCATTTAGGGGTAGGGTAGTAACAGTTAATAAACTCACATGAGAGGTGGGGAGTTTGCTGGGATTATTTCTATCACAGCCCTTCCATCCCCTGAGCAGCACCTCTGTTTTTGGGTCAGTGATGGAGTGACCCCTGGCAGCCAGCTCTGTTTGCTGCATGCCATGTCTGGAGACCTGGCACCAGGGCTGCCCGAGGCTTTGCTTTCCAAGCACATATTTTCTTTGGGTCATTCCATGTAGACTGTACAAAATCAGCTGAAATGCTCCACCTGACAGTGCATGGAATTGCAGAACAGGAATCAATTAACTAGTAAAGGAAAAACTGGAAAGATAAGATTCTAATAAATTGTTCTAAAGTAATTAAAGGAAAAGTTGATTTATAGAACATGTAAAATGTCACAATTTTAATTCTGTTGAGCTATTTAAAATAATAGCTGCAGAGGTATTGGAAAAATTAATTGGGTAACATAAGTGATAGTTCTATAAAGCCAGTTAACTGGGTTCAAATATACCTCAAATGTGTTGGTTCCGAGACACATTTTTAGTAACATGGACAAATGAGAGACTACTGGAAAAACGTTCCATTTCAACTATAAAAATATACATTTTTTGTCTAATTAAAACAGATGGCCAGTGAAATCAAAAAATAGTTTGCATATGATAAGTGCAGTGAGATTGCTAAATACTACTCTCAAAAATGTCACACTTGCATGTAGATTAACTTCATCTCATGCTAAAGATACCACACATTTAGGAATAAAAATAAATGTCTTCCGTATTATATTGTGTAGTTAAGTGTTGTATCTTGGCAATTCAAAATTAAAAACAGTTGTATCATGAAATGCTTCTGTGCCAGCAGTCTGCAAATCTCAACCAGACCACTGGTACTGAACCATGAATAAGCAGAGCTGGGATTATAAAGCTTAATTTATCTGAAATAATTTCTGGAAAAACCCTCTGAGCAGCAGCAGCATTCTGTTCCTATGAAATAAAGTGATCTTGTGGCCTTTATGCAGCCCCTTGTGATGAAGGTGTTCATAAACACACTGAGTTGATTAAATGCTCAAAGTACACCTCAACCAGACAAGGCAAAAGAGGTGCTTTATACTCCTGGAAAGTAACTTGATGTTTGAGACTATCCAGTCTGACTTGGATCAGGACATGGTAGAGATTGCAGTTTATTACTTGAATATTGTAACGTATTAATAAAGGAAGGCTGGTCAATTAATCATACTGAAGTGAACAGATGAGTTTGAAATGATCTGGAACAGTGATTTTTCTCTTAATGGAATCTTTATGGTTGAAGGACGGGTCTCCAGAACAGTAGGATCAGTGGGAAAAAGTAAGAACAACTTTCTAGGAAAAGATTTCTAACATAACTAACAAGGTTTATAAACTATAGCATGTCCCAGCCCCAAAATGAAAGGATGCCAGTCATTTAACTAGCTAAAATTAAATAACAATGACAGTAGAGATGAGTAACCTGGGCAGAAGACAGTGTGACTTCAAGCTCAAGGGATTCTTGTTGGGCTATTTGTGGCACCTGTGCTGCTGTGCCTTGGCTGCTGTGCTGTCCTGCTCTCTGTGCTAGGGAAATCAGAGCCAGCAGAGCAATGTCATGGTGCAGTGGTTGTCATTGTGAAGTAGCATCTTTGTTTAGACATACCATCAGAATACACTGGAATTGTGCTTCAGGCCATTCAGTCTTCTGAACAGAATGTTGTATTTCAGTCCAGCTGTTTTACGTAACTTCTGGTCCTGTGCAACCTAAAAAAAAAAAAAAAAAAGGAAAAATTTTTGAGATCACTGGCGTTAATAGCTGTTTCTTTTGTCTTTACTGGAGCACATTTTACAATATTTTCTGCAAAATATTATATTCTTAAAGCTATATTTTTCTAACAATATCAATGGTATAGGCTAGAGGTATTTTTTTGGGAGAGACTAAAGGACTGGTAGATGTAACTGTGTACGTATGATGTACTTTTCAAGGAGATACATATTTAGGTTTATAGAAATTCTCTTTCCTATTGTGACAGCTACTGCACTAGGGCTAGGAAAACTGTCAAGGCTAGTTCAGTTGTATACAGCTTCTGGTTTTTATGTTCCTTTCCCATCTTTTAGAGCATTTAATTATTATCAATTCTTTAAATTCTGTGAGGATTTTTTCAACATGTATGTTTTTCCCTTCACTTCCCTGAAGTGCCTTGTGTAGTTAGGGCTGATGGATAATGGCAGGTGCCGTGTTCCTGACACAATCCATAGCCATCCCCCTTCCTGACTACAGCTGCAGAGACTGTCCTGAGATGTCCACAAGGAAAAGCCATACATAGCCAGGATGTTCCTCATAAATTAAATTGATTTCAAAATTCCTATGAATAGGGCACCTGTGGTACCAAACTGTGTTTTATATGCATTTGACCTAGTTGTATTCTCTCCTAACTTCTTAGAATTTGTAATAGACTGTGTAAGCTGTACAGTGCTGTGTCTAGTTCTAAACTGAAATCTTCTTTTCCCTTCTTTTTAGCCATTTCAGTCAAGGCAGAAGCATCTGACTTTGGAGGAACTGTTTGGAACCTCTGTCCAAAAGGAACAGCCTGCAGCTCCATATCCCAATCCAGAGAGAATGGAGAAGCTGCAGACAGATGCATCTGCCAGAGAGCAGCACAGTTTGCTTTTGCCTTTTTCCTTTGACCAGTCACCAGTAATGCAACAATCCCTGGGGAAATCTGAAAGTCCAAGCATTAAACCCAGTGCCAACCAGCAGGACTGTTTAACACCTATGATAATACCTCCAGCTTCAGTTTCCCAGCCTGAGCTGAAAAATGTTTCAAGCTATTCAGTTCGTTTAAGCCCTGTTCTTAATTCAGCCTCGACAATGGAAGCTGGCCCTGCTCAGATGCTTCCTGGCCTCAAACAAAGCAACAGTATAATGCAAGTTATGCAGCAGGCTGCCAAGCCCATATCCCCACTGGTGAATCAGCCACCATCTGAAGTGAACCACGCTCCGCAGAATCTAATGGCTGGCCAAAGCCAGCTCATAGCACCCTTGACTACAGCAAACACAGGGACTGTCTCAAATGCATCTCATACAAGTGTTGATCTTCTCCAGAAACTCAGGTTGACCCCACAGCATGACCAAACACAACAGCAGTCTCTTACTAAGAGTCCCTTAACACCAAACATCTCTGCCTCAGTTGGCCAACTTGCAACACCAGAAAGTTTCAAAGAATCTCACAGTAAGCCATCAGCCTTGAACAGCAAGATAATCTCTCCCCTTCAGGTATTCTGTGGACTTTAATATCCATGAAGCTTTAAACTATGTGTATTTTTCTCTTGAAAACTGTGCTATTATATATTAGCTGTTTGAAGATAATTAATTCCAATTAATTCAATCAATACCACACAATTCCACTGTGTGGTATTGATTGAATGGCTAAGTTAGAAATCCAGTTCCATTAGTTTTGTATCATTAGCATCTGCTGTCAGTGACAGGCCTTTCTCTAGAGATGTTTTTCCAACTGCTGCTGGTGTTAGTGGGTGAATAAGTCCTAAAGATTTAATCTTGTGTCAGAAAAGTATGCTAAGAGCTGGGCATCTGAGAAGGGATGGAATGTTGCAGCCTGAGCACTGTGATGAGAGATGGTGATGTGATGGAAGTCTAGCCTGTTCATTATTTGAAAGTATACAATTAACAATTTCCTTTTTCTGATTATTTTACTTTGAGTGTTTTGTACTCCTTCAGTTTTGACCTGCTTTTTCCATGGGTACCTGTGGGCTACATTGAGATATGGCTTTATAGGTTTGCCATAATATTGAAAGCATAAAACATAAATTCAGATACTTCCTTTTTACAGCTTCCCATTGATTATATCAGTTTTACAAAATTGATCAAATGATAGCTAAAATCTTGAAATTTGCATTTTTGTGGCTTTCTTAAAAACAGAGAACCACCTCTGGAAACTGAGCTGTGGATGGTAACCTGTGAATTTTGCTTTTTTTTTTTTTCCCTTAACTCAGACTGTACAACAAAACAAGGAATCAGAAGTATTTCCACAGCCAAAAACTTTGTCTAAAGCAAGTCAAGTAAGTGGATAAGTACCTGTGCTCATTGGTCTCAGGGGGAAAAAACCCAGCTGCAGTACCCAGTTGATATCGCAAATAGAAACTGCTCACTGACCCTATAGAAGGAGCTGTTATGAAACAGCTGGAGGAAGGGGGAGTTGCTGTCAATGCACTGCTCCTGTACAGTCACTCTTACTGTTGGTTCTAGTGCAGAAATGAAAACACATTTTTAGATTTGCAGCCCTGCACTGAGTTTGCACCATTTGAGCTGGGGTTTTTTATGTTGCAAGCAGGGAATGCCATAATATTGTAGTAGGGTTATTAGCCTTGACCCAACCTTAAGCACCCCAGAGGCTTAAAAAGCAATCCTTGTCTTGCTGTATCTCAGTTTTCTTGAGATATTTTGTATCATAGGAACAGATACAAAGCAGAAAAAAATTGAAGCTGGAGAAAAAAAAATAACAAATAATTGCTACTGCAAAACTTGCAACTTTTAGCCAGCTAAAAGCAGATTGAAGTTTCTTAGAACTGCTTTGGGTAACAGTTTAAAATAATGTTTAAGTGTAAGGTTGCAATTACAAATTAACTTGATAATAGTCAAGTGTTCAAGAACTGGTTTCAATTGCCTTTTTGTTATGTATTCATTTTAGGACACCATCTGTATTTTATTTCTGCTTTTCCCTTATGCACCCACTCCTTTTTCAGGTCTCTTGCCTCATTCTTGTCTAACTTGCTCTCCATGAGAGCTGTTTCAGTAGCACGCCCAGATCTGATTGTGAAGGCAAAAAAATGGCCCTACTTGAAGTAAAATGCTGTTTAAAAGCATTTTATATTAATTTGGGAATTTTAAGAAACATGTGCATATTGTATAGTAAACTGTCAGTTTAAACATTGTCTTCAGCTGAAATCCCACACTGTTAGTCTTTACAGTTTTGACTACAAGAAAATAAATTTTCTAGTTCTGCTGTTGTTGATGTTATTTTATACACGTAAACTTTAGATGGGTTTGGAGGGCTTTTTCCTCTGAAGGTTGTTGCTTATCCAAGGGGAACTCTTTCTGCTGACATATCAAATCACATTTAGTGTTGCTTTTCTTTGGAGTGAGATTGGCTTTTTTTTTTTTTTTTTTACCATGTTGGTCATCCTGGAAGCCTGAGCAAGACACAGATTATCTGCCTGAGTAACAATTGCAGTTATCAGGAGATATCAAAGTTACTCAAAGGGGACATTTATTTGTGTCCAATTGATGCAAATGTAATAGTCCTATAAATGTGCAATTTATGTTTAAAAGAAGTGGTAAAGGCAGTATGTGTATTTTTGTGACAAAATGGAGACAGACATGTGAAACAATGAGGTGGGAAGATGGTCCTCAAAATATTTCCATCTTGCATCCCCCCAAAGGAAAACAGAATGAGAATATTTCAGTGTACTCCAATGCTTTAATTATAATTCAGCAGTTTCTTTAAATATGTTTGAGATGCACTTCAAATTTGAAGTAAAGTATCTGTGGGAGACCACAGAAGTGGGGTGCAGGAAGTACAACTGGTCTTTCTGAAAACACTGACAGAAAATACTTTGCAAAACAGTTTACAGGCTCCTTTGGTTACTTAGGTGAAAAGCTCAACTTTCATTGTATGTGTTATGTTCTACAAATTCTGGAAGGTAGCAACCACATGAGTAGGAAAGGAGTCTGCATACAAGAATGTTCAAGGCTGCTATTCTTCAGCTTTGAAAATGAGAAGTACTATTGGTACTTACACTATTCTTCATAGGTAGATATTAGTTAAGAGCAGCTATTCTGCAATATCTGACTGAATAATTGTGGCTGCAATTTATTTCATTTTCTTTATGCTTATCTCTCCAGACTTTACAACATCATTCATTCTTACTGAACACAGTACTTATTAATTTTCTGTTCTTTTACAGGTTGCACCTCCACAGTTTGTTACAGCCACAACGACAGTAACGCCTTCAGTGCTCTTGTCTCCAAGCGTGTTTCAGCAATCAGCTACAAAAGCTACTGAAGTGGAGAACAAAGCCAGTTCTTCTTCGCCTTTAACACTTGGAACAACAGAAATTCAGACCACACCACCTACTGTTCTCAGTAGGTCTCAGCTTCAAGAAGCACTGATACATCTAATAAAGGTAGTGTCTATACAGAGCTCAGAGTTTCTGAGGGATGGGGTTCCAAGCACAGAAGGCAGCACTGACAAAATTCTGTACCCCTGTAACTCCTTTTGCCCTGAAAAATTACAAAATATGTTCTTTTCTGTTGAAGGGGCAGATTCCCCCACACTGTACAGAGTATGGCACAGCTTGCTGCTTTTGGTTGATGTGTCCTTTCACATCCATATGAATTTGTAGACAAGTGAGGGGTAACTTGCAGTAGTAAAAGCTGGTATGGGGTAGGAGTTGATTTTGCTATCTTTTTAAGTGTTCCACATCTTCAAGGAAAGATTTCCTGTTTTCAGTTCCCTAGAACCTTTCCTCATCTTTACTTTTAGTGAGTTTCTTTGAAATGGAAATTGCAAAGTTTTATCTCTGCTATTTTTAGGGACTAAAAGTTCTGTTTAATTAAATCTGTGGTGTTGGGAGCAGCTGTGCATTAAGATGATTTTGACCTCTAATGTCATGGTGAAGTTGCCATGAATGACAAACAGTTATTTCTTAGCTCAGGATTCTCTTGCTCACTCTGTGCTGGTGTTAGTAGATCTTATACCCAAAATGCAAGTCTAAAATAAAAAAACAGTATCTTCCCAGTGATCAAGTTGTTAGGACCAAAAAGGTCATTACCAGATCCCATCAATTAGGTTGCCTGATTTATCTGTTCCATTTTACATAACCTTTTCTTCTACTGTTGTACTGTTCTAGGTTTTCTAATTAAAGACTTAAACTAATCTTGGAACTGAGCTCACCTGCTAATATTGTGAGTGGTGATTTGAGGGATCTGACAGGGATATTTGTCTCCAGTCTTTACAGAGACAGCTGAATGAAGACTGAAATAGGCATATCCTGCAGCATGGGAGTACTCACACAGCACTCTAAGCAGGATACCAATTGCTGTTTAGATCTTGTCAAGACACCATTACACTCTCAAGCTAACTGATTAGATACCAGTTTTGTAACTTGTTTGAAGGAGTTAGACTCAAGAAATATCTGTAAATCTTGTCCATCAATTAAACCAATTAACTTCCATGCTTTGACTTGGGAATTCTTTGCATTCCCATTTGGGCTGGTCTGCCAGACAAAAAACATCACATCTGACACTCGGGCAGATTTGATTTGAGAGCCTGTACACAGAATGGGATTCTTTGTGCCTTAGACTATGGTTTGGACTCTGAAGGGAAGCCAAATGTGGCCAGGCTGACACAGTGACCCCTGTCTGTTTGTCTGAGCATCCAGAGTGGCTGGTGATGCCTTCAGCTGCTGCCCAGCTTCATGGTTCACAGCCTGTGTGTGTTCCAAAAGCACCTTTTGTGCAGGCATGCAGCTCCTTCCCTTACCAGCTGCAAGAAATCCTTATCAAAATTAAAGTGACATTAAATTAAGCCTTTTTTCACATATTTTCACTAATGTTTCTAATGTGTTTCTGTTTTTCCTGCAGAATGATTCCCATTTTCTCAGCACTATCCATGAGGTCTACTTGCAAGTCCTCACCAAGAGTACAGACAACATTAAGCTATAATGGAAGCTGAATCTACTTAAAATATGTTCATTTTAGAAACAATTATGCCTCATCTATAAAACTAATATTTTTGTAAAAGAATATTTAGTTTTCAATGTCTTGAGTTTGAACCTGTTAGGAAAGATTATTCCTTAAATACTTATGAAAGTAACATTCTCAGAATGATCTAGGTTTTCACTGTGATCATCACCAGCAAACCTTTTTTTTTATTGGGGAGGGACTTAAGTTGCATTTGAGCTCTCATTAGCATTAAGTGAATGTGCAAATGTTTGCTCTGGCTCTCATTCCTGGCTGTATTCACTGTTCAAGGATTACAGACTCAAAACTATTTCAACCAGCAAATGCACAGTATAATACACTACAGCACACCAGAACCAAATTCAGTTGTGGGAACCTAGTTCCAGTTTGAAGGACTAAGGAAAATGAGAGCAAAATGCCTTGTGATTAAGTTGGCAGGTGCTGGGAGGGAAAGGGTCTGGAAGCCAGGCCATTGGAGCTAAATCTTTAACAAAAGGTCTAAAAATGTGATCAGCTCAATACACTGGCAGTCTCTAGCTAATGCATGTGAATTCATCCTTCCAATATTACATTAATATACTTGTTTCTGTGTTACTGACATAAAACACCCAAGTAAGTAAGGCCATTTTCTCTAAAAAGGCAGAATTTGAAATATGCAAAATCTTCAGTAATTGTACTTTTCTTTAAAGCAACAATGGAGTTGCACATTGAAGTTCTCATTTTAAATTCATAGTTAGGAGACCACCACTGGAAGACCCTCTTCCTGTTCAGCAGTATCTGAAAAAATTTAAACATTTTGTTCTCTTTTAGCTTAAGGATGGACCACACTATAGTTGGCTTTCACTCCTCAGTTGTGTTGTAACTGCAGTGTTGGAAACTATGCAGATGGGAAACAAATGCATGCTTTTCTTCTGTTGCCCTCTCCCCAAATAATTAGTGTACACTTCATAGTCTGAAGTTTATCTAACTAAAATGTTACTGCTTTGTATATGTAATTTAGTAAGTCACTATTCACTAAGAATTTAACTGGGTACTTTCCCATTTGAAATCAGAAAATTTTTAATTATACTTCCTTATGCTGCTGTATTGGTTTACCTTTGGGTATTTATTTCTTAAAGGCATTCAAAGGTAATTAATCTAAGTTCAGGTCCCAACCTTTTCCAGCAATAGTAGTTTTAAAAGATGCTTTTTCCATAGAAAAGTGTTGGGTTATTGAGTAAAGAGATAATCTGTAGTGAGTTGTGATGCACTGCTTCATTCTTTTCCTTCAAGCACTGTTGAAATATGAAGAAAAATACTGTTTGGCTCCTTACAACATATATGTAAGTACAGATCTCTTAAGGATTAGTTAATGCTGACATAGTCAAGGTGCATGGCCATTTCATTGGAAACTAGTAATTGAGCTTTAATTGTGACTTGTTCACAAATCAGGATGTTTTAGATACGATAAATAATTACATACCTTCAAATATTTTTATGTATTTGAACTATTTTAGGTTTTTTTTCTTAGCTTTTTAGTGGAAAATATATTTTGTTTAGCACTACCTGCCTTCTGAAAAGCTCTTCTCAGCCTTTGAGTTCAGTGTTTCCAATTAAAATATATATAGTATATTGTTAGCAAAATGTTCAAGATTCAGGGAAAGATGCTAATGTGCATTCATCAAGAAATGTATTTGATTTAATGGTAGCATTTGAATTGAGCAATACAAACTCAGACCTCTAAAGGAAGATAGGAGCTTCTTCCATAAATTCTGGAGTTACAATACTGTGTATGCACATAAACAGTGAGACTCAAGTTAGATTCATGAACTAAAGTGATTTTATGTTGAGCTTTTTAGGAAAAGTTTCACTGACAGGTACAAACCAGGGAGCAGTTCCTGTGAACAAAAATGGACAGTCTAAGCCAAGCAGAGGGTTGCTCTTACCTAGATTTAGCAAACATGGAGTCTGTAAGTTCTCACTTCTCATGGACAGCTTCTGTTTTCTTCAATGAAAGATTTGATAAAGGTTTGTAAGAACAGAAATGTTGGAAGCTGATAGTGCATTTAGTGTTTGCTAAATACACTCTTATCAAAAGATCTGTAAGAAATGATAGGAAGGAGTTGTATTTTGAGTTCTTCAGCCATATACAAAAGTAATAACACTTTAGATATCCTTAACTTGTGAGGGTTCCTGTGCAGCTGGAAACAAGCAGTTGGCAGAGCCTTACTTCACTTTGGTTTTGTAGTGTCCTGGTAGGAACAGGTTGATAGTTTACTTCCCTGCCCAGACTTTCCAAATCAACTGGCAGAGAACCAGAGTTGAAATCATAGTGTCCACAGCAAACTTTACACCTTGAACAAGTGCATGTGTTTGTTCCAACCTCTGCGTGGGGCCAGCACACACAGGAACCCCCCAGTGCAGAGGTGTGACAGGGAATGGCTCTAACAGATCCATTCCTTTAATTAAAAGCTTGTTGTAAAACACAAGCTTAATTACAGTGTAAAAGCTGGTTTGGTTTTTTTTAATGTGAACTCTGTATTTAAAAACCTTTTCCCCTAATTTTTTTAAATTTTTATGTAAGTTTGAAATTACCAACTTGTTGAAGTGCTTGATTCGTGTTATCTGCATGTAGGGATAACCAGTATGTAGCAAGTTACCTTGAGGCATCGCAGAAAATTATTGTGACCATTTGAAAGTTGTTTGGGTTTTTTTTTTAATTGATGGCTTAATGGGGATTTTATCTGTTCTTTCTGGGAATCAAAAGATTATTTGTTCAGACTACACTCCTCAAATTATTACCTAAGCATGTTTTTTGTGGCTCACATTAGGTTACTTTAGGTTTGAGTTTGGATTTTTCTTTTTCCCTAATCAAAGACAGTTTTAAAACCTACATATGCTGAATTGTTCAGGAAAATCAAAATTCTCAGTTTTGTAGTTAGACTTTATCTGTTATTTAACAATGCAAAGTTTATATGAAAGGTGCCTAACAGTTATTAACTTTAGAAGGAGAATATCTTTCCAAATTAAACAAGGTTTGCAGAATGAGTGATAAAAAAATTCAAGTGATTAATCCTGATTTAATATAAAATGTGTAATTCTGTGTATAAATACTCAATATTTAAACACTCGCTGCTGGATGTATCATTTTTGCTTGCATTTCTATTTGCTTCATTTTGATTTATTTCTGAAATCCATTATGCCATGTGTAGTCACTGATAGAATTTCTGCAATGTTTTGGAAAACAAACTTTGATTTGGGACTTCTTGGTTTTTAAAAGTATTCTAAGCAAATCAGCCATCTTTTTGCCAGGTATTTGGGTTGCTTTGTGCAGCATATCTTAACAAGAGGAATATGTGCAATATGTATCACCTCATGTTTGTCTGGCAATGTAACAAAAATGTTAAGATGCAATATCTTCCTTTCACTTCAACTTGGAAAAATTGCAGTATCTCTGATTTGGTGGTGTATTTATTTTTATCTATTCAGTGCATGGGCATATGGTTAGTTAGGTTCTTCTATGTGCATTATGTGCTTTTAGTAATTTCTGAGTTTTATCACTTCTGCATATGCACCAGTTGTAGCCATTTGCATGTTCTTTCAATATGAAGACCATGGGGAAGGGGGGGCTTCAAGGAAAGATTTCTGGAAACCTGAATAATTGTAAGTCAAAAAATGTAGATACTGCATCATTAACGTTTTTGGTATGGTGTGGGTTTTATAGCACCTATGTATGTTTGCAGTTATTAAGTTATTGCATAAATGTTTAAGAATGAGCATTTTTTTCATCCAAAATTTTGTATGTTTGCAAATATATTTTTGTAATAAAACTTCAAAACAAATGTTTCAGTACCTCCTAAAATCTTGTGATGTTTCCTTTTATTTCTGTTAGTTCTGTTATCCTACTGGAAGGTTCAAGTTTTATTTAGGGTTAATAATTTCCAGGGAAAAAACTCAAATTCCTTTACTCCATTCGGGGATAGAACCAAATTGCATTTGTCCAAATAGAAAATGCAACCTGACTGCTTGAAGGGCAGTGGGGAACAGCTTCTACAAGGCCCTCTGCTGCTGTCAGCAGCCTTGTGTTTTGAATTTGATAAACAGGTAAGTTTCCTATCACATTAAGAAATGCAGTTGTACTTTCACTGGTTTGTAAGTACAGCTCTGGGTTTGGTGCCTTTCTATATCACTTTTTTATGGTGTCCCCGTTCAGCCATCTAGATAAGGCATTTGATTCTCAGTATGATGTTTGTCTTTGATCCAAGGCATTGGAAATTGCAGTTGTCCTCCTGCCATATCTGATTGACATCATGAACTGGTTGATCCAAGTTTCACAAAGTGAAATAGGGAAGAAAAACATAGAAGTTCATCTTGAAATTAAACAAAACCTTAGGCCTAAATCCCTAAATTTTAGCTAGATGCTAATTCCTATTCTAAGTACCCATGGGAGCTGGTGATTGCAGGGCAGGTCAAATGTCAGGGGAGGCCACTAGAGAATGGCATTTGTTGCCCTGATAATTCATATTGGAGTGATGCCTGTACAATGTTCAGAAGCAGATTCTTCTAATAGAAGACTGCCATACATAACAGGTACAAAAGTCTTGGATTTACTGCAACATACTTGGGGAAAAAAAAAAAAAGTGGAAAACTGCTTAGAATCAAACTTTGTAATTCTGAAATCTAGATCTAAATTCTCTATTAGGTGTGTTGCCTGCCTGGTCAATATCAAGAATATTTTTTCTCATTCTCAGTGCCATTAATCTGTTTGTCTTCTCTGGTCCAGGTATTCCTCTTCCCTGTTACTCACATAAAGTGCTCCCCTTTAGTTTGGGAATAAGGTAGTATTTCTGAATTTCTCTGTGTAGCTCCAGCTAAACCAGGCACTGTACAGTTGATCTTGTGTGCTCTACAGTTGTGTTTTTTGGAAGTGTATGACAGAATGAAGCCAATCCCTACTACGATGGTGATATGTAGTGGGTGGAATCAGGGAATAGGCATTAGACTTCCTAAAGTTCATTGTCTAAAATTCAAATTTCATTTACAGGCTTGCAGAATGAAATAACAACAAGCTGTAGCTCATGTCTGTGGGCCAAATTAATTGAAGTTAGTGGACTCGTGTTTGGTAAGGGTTCAACTACAGTTTTTTCTCACTATAGAAGGCAGTATAGAGTAAGAAACCTGTCATTCATACAGGGTTTTTTTCATTTGTTAATAGGATGCCTTCAGGTTACTAAATAGTCTTTATTATGGCTGAGGTAAATTTCTCTTCATTTTAGTTTTCTAATCAAAATACTAGAAATTATAATGTATGTCATCAAAAGATATTTCCAGTGCCCAGGAGTGGAATTTCTTCACACAACTTCAGGTGTGAATCAGCTTTTTTCCATCTTCTAGATTTTAATTTGGGGATTTCTTTTTTAACCTGACCTACTAATTTAGAATTTAAACTTCTGTGATAGACCTGTAACTTAAAATACAGCCATGAACTGTAAAGCTCATCCTTGTGAGTTATGCAACAATTTTTTCATAAGACATTCCTAATCAGGCTCAAAAAGCATTGAGAAAAGAGGGCAGTGAAGAGAGATTTTTATCAGTTGCTGCATTTTTGAAAGAGCACTGGCAATAAAACAAGAGGGAAAGGACAATTGAATAGAAGAGTCCTGAGAAGAAAACAAGGGAAGCAAAAGCATTCATATAAATATGAAAGGGGATATTGTAGAGGGGAAAGTATGGCCTGTCAAAGTATTTCCTGAAGCACAGAGGAATTTAAGTTACAGTTTTGTTTCTGTACTGCTGCATGTTTTTAGGTATTCTCAAAGCTCAAATGCAGATTGCCTATAAGAATGCAGAGTATTTCAGGGCGTGTTCAGAAAATAACTGGGTAGGCATGATTTCCTTGCTCTAATTCTTCAGGTCTGCTGTGGGGATTTTAACCTCTGGTTAAAATGAGGTAGCACAATGGAGTTGACTGATCACAGCAGTACCTAATTTTTGTCTTTGCTTAATGGCCTCCCATTACAGTTTAAAATTTGCTACACAGAACAAGGCTGCTTGTACCTCATTGGCTTTTATCTTTCATTTTAAACAGATCTTTAAAAATATTTCTACCAGAATCCATTCTTTAAAATTCAGCAGGTTCATTTTACAAAATCAACCTTGGGAAATAAAACCACAAATGAATAAGCTTTATATGCTGGCTGAAATGAAAGTACTTGCCCTTAGGCCTTTATAGGAAACACGCAGGACTGTGATGTAAATGCACAAGTTTTACTTCTTTTCTCCTCATAAATAAGTTATGAAGCTTTTAAGAGCATCTACAGAGCAAAGATCACCCAGCCTGGCTCCCGTAAACAAAGCTCTATGTTGGTCTTAATTTAGACAGCATATGACTTGCACATCCTGCTTGTTCTTCTTGTGGTTTGGAAGAGGGATCAGGGAGGCTTAGCAGGTTTGAGATTTATGGGTGATGCTGAATGCCTTCTCTGGTTTACGTTCTGAGCATCAAACAAATCCAAGTCTGTCCTCTGGGGACACAGCTGTCCCATGTAACAAAACTGATGCAAAGGAAGCTTCTGTCTTCTTAAACTCCCCAGAAGAATTGAGGTACAGGAGTGCAGTTGAAGCCTGCAGGGTCTGGATGTGTACAGAGTCTGTTGTGGTTTACAGCAAGCCCTGCTCCTGATGTGATCTTCAGGATGGAAGGCACAGGGTGCCCATTATAAAGAGAGAGCTCTACTTTTCCATGGTTTAGTAGGAAAATCCTGCCACAACAGAAGCTTTTACAGAAGACTCAAAGGTTTGGTTAGAAACACAGTACTTTTAATGCAGCACTTTTAATAAGGGTTTCAAAATAAACAATTATTCTTCAGATATGAAGACAGCTCTCTGAGGGAAACTGCTAACATAACAGACATGTGTGAAAGTAATGTGGTCTCAGAGTCTGTAGTGCCTGAGCCTACTCCTGTGAGGTAGCTTTATCTGGAACATGATTTTAGATA